TTATGTAGGTACATTGAATACGGCCAGAGAAAAGATAAATAAGAAAAATAATAACCATTATCAGTTGATAACGATGTATTTTTGGGCTCTGTTTGAATTTGTCACCGTGATCACAAAATACCATGAGGGCATTTATTACCCTCTACGTATTCAAGGGCCGGGATAGCTCAAGGGCTATGTGCTCACCGTAAATCTCACAGTAGTATGCTAACAACCTGGTTAGATCCCCGCCGGTACCAATGAAATTGTTAACAGCAATTTCAAGTGCCACGCGCTAGGTGGTGAAGGATAATGTAATTTTTATATTCGATATAGATTACCTGTAATTATCATTGGAAGTCGTGTTTTACTTCAACCGCTGAGGATTCCCGCATGTCTAGGGAATAAAATATTTCGACGACACGTGAGGTTCGACAACACGCACGGATCAGCGAAGCGAACTATCTCCGAGATGTGATGAGGCGTGTGCTCAGTCGTGGGACGTGTATAGGCTATTGACTTTGTTTACCGTTACTGTTAGTCTATTAAAGTCTACTGCTGAACCTAGGCCTCCCCCATAGCTTGCCTCATAGGGCGGGTATTTGCCATAGTTTCCACGCTTGGCAAGCGGGTTGGCAACCGCAGTTTATTTTTATTTTTAGTCGTTATTAGGAAGACGCTGCTGCTCGTCTCCTGATTTGTTTCCCTCTGTTGCCTCTTACGACACCCACGGGATGATATGGGTAGTGAATATTCTTACACTTTCACTACACGGCTATATTTATTTTATATAGTATATTAAATTGAAATATGATCTTCGTTAATATTCACACTCATAACTACATTAACACGACTAGGGGTTGACGGCTCGGACTGTGGCTAAGCGTTAGGAAGATTAGGATTGCTTGGTTTCCCGAGTATAGATTTCTCCTATACAGTTTGGAGGCTGTATCGTTTATGAAAAAGGGATTCATAAGAGGGAATTATAAGAGAAAAAGCATGAAACACATAAACAATCGAGCATTTCTTGTCTTAATTAGTTATTAAGAAATAAAGGGAAATAGTTAATGCATAAAAGATTACTATCAGTTGAAGTTACTATCAGTCGAATCGTATGCTCGTTTGTCACCCTAGCTTCTACAAAATTATGACTTATTAATTATTGACTAGAAATCTGGCGTTATTTACATAAAATTCACTAACACAACGGTAGCACACGGACTTAAGTAGATTGAAAACAAATCATAAAATTCGAATGTTTACCTTTATTTCGCAATATTTGTTGATAAGTTAAACTATGAAATGCTGAATTGAGAAAATATCGCAAAGCAACATTTTGCGATGCATGTGAATCGCTAATCATATGTCAGCAGAAAATTTTAGGTGTGGAAGAGTGGGTGGGACGTCCCCTTCCAAATTACAGACGAGTGAACTATCAGAGAAGGCGGTAGATCGTGTGAACTCATATAGGGAGCGATGGGAATTACGAGCTCTTCTTTAATGTGGGGCGAATGTTGGTGTATGATAAAAGTGTTAATAATATCTAAAACGGTAGTTCAATTTAACTGTACCTTATGATCGTGTCTAATTCGGTTATCAATTTATATTGCCCTGGTAGCTCAGAGGCTTTGCTCGGCGCAAATTTCACAGTACGCGAACAATGCGGGTTCAATCTCGGCCGACACCATTGAAATTGTTATTGCGATTTTAAATGCCGTTTGATAACTCAGTGGTAAAAATATTTCGAGACTACCTTCAGTGACATTTTTTTTTCATAGTATATAGGGTGACAAACGAGCACACAGTCCACCTGATGGTAAGTGGTTGCTGTGGCCCATAGACATCTACATCTATTCTCGTTTGCGAATCAAAATGCAGATGCGTTATCACCCGTGAAGACTGAGATGGAATGCCTATTTTCCAGTAAAAAGGGTCTCCGGTTCTATACACTCACCATACGAAACACAACAGTTTTAAGCTGCTATTTTACGCTGGTATTCTGTGAGAGCGTGGTCCTTCCCCGGTCGAGCCGATCCATTCATGCTACAACTATACTATTAATATAGCTGCAGCATGGCTCTACCACGTAAAGATAGTGGATATTCTTACACCGCGGTGTCACTGTTAAGAGTTCCGTGGGTGTCGTAATAGGCGACAGAGGCAAATTGAATCAGAAGATGCGCAGCAGCATCTTCCTAATAACAGCTGAACAAAAATAAAAATGTCAACCTGCCAACCCGCTTGCCAAGCGTGACAACCATGGCAAATATTCCCCACTTATGAGGCTATCTATGGGGGAGAACACCTGTGGACTTTTGGTAGACTGTTATGGTAATAGTAAGTTGTATAAAAGGTTTAAAAGAAAACAGAATTGGTTAAAATGTTGTTATTAAATAACATATTTGAATAATAGTAATATTCGCCCGGAGCATACTGACGAAGGCGACGAGTTCCAAATGAGACGTAATTATTCAAAAAGGATCTAACAAAAAGCTACTGTTAACATTTTTTGCTCTTACCTTTGAGGTATATACCTTTCATGCTATGAACTGTATTCAATTATATTTATATGGCTTATTTAGATTTCTTTATTATTATTTTGTTTATCGACTGCCATTTTCGCTGCTACTGATGTACGGTATAAAAATACAGATCCTTGCGACCATTTTGGTATAGGTCAGTGCTTCCCAATTAGTGTTAGGCGTACCCCCAGGGGTACGTCAGATTGCCTGAAGTGGTACACTCTTGAATAAGGTAAGGTTAAGTAATCTCTTGCCTAAAGTAAAACACTTAAATAAACTATGTGATTTGCATTATTATTAAAATTGTGGACAAGTTAACGAATAACGAAAATATGATTTAGAATATATATTTTTTTATCTTTTGTGCTTTAAGAGGTTTGCGAACTACAGCTACTTCTCGAAGTGGTACGCAATAAAATTTTGGGAACCACTGGTTTATACCAGTACTTATGTAATTTTGGTGTATAAAATGTTTTGACGAGAGTGTGGATTAGCTTATTTGCGCGATTATGTCCGATTACGCAATGTTGTTGCTATGTAAGAGAGTTCATCACCCTATTTCGTGCCGTGGGTGTCTTAAGAGCTGACTATGGCCAATGCCTAAAAAATCTTATGGCTTTCCATAGATGGAGGTTTAACCATCTAGTTGACATCAGTCGTAAAATTTCGAGAACGGCGACGGGCGACAGCGCCAAGGGTTGAGCATCTGGCTCCTGCGATGGGCATTCCGGAGAAAGCGTCGTGTTTAAGACACAAATCATCCCTATAGAATAAAATAGAATGATTTTTATTCAATATTAATTATTACATAATATTTACATATTGAAAGTTATTTTTTCGTTTACCACTGATTCGGAAAATACCTCTGTCCTGGGAAGAACCAGCAAGAAACCCAGCGTGACTTTTTTTTTAAACATATTTCACTTTACAATAATTTTGTTTGTAAAATTTTTAAATGAATTTTGAGAGAACCAACATGGTGGCGGTCACCTCATATACTCACCATACTCACCTATAATGGTAAAGGTTCATTACCAGCGGTGTACTTGTACAGGCTGAGAAAAAGGTGTGACAAAGTGTTACTTTACACAAGTTCCCAACTGGGCACAGAGTTTCTTTTATTTATGAAAGAGGTTTTCGGGCTGGAAAGATCACGCGACACTGGCCCAAGGCGTGTTGATAAACGTCACATGTTCACGAATTACGAATCATTAATTTGAAAGCCAAGCAAGTTTCTTCACGCCGAGCACATGGTAAATTTACCAAAATTACCATTTAAACTTTCATTGGGACCGATGGGAATCGAACTCACTCCAAATTCACCTTCTATATTAATTTAAGGCCTATCCCTTGAACTTCCATATACATGTAATATACGAGTTACTAACAACTCAATAAAACACTGCGGTTGCCAAACAGCCTACCAGCTTGGCAACTAAGAGGAAATATCACACTTATGAGGCAATCCGTAAGGGAGACCTATGTTCAACAGTGGATATTTCATATATTAATAGAAACAACACACCAAGAGAAAAATGGCTTTCATGTTTGGCTATATTTATTTATTTTTGTATAGGATAGGGTGACAAAAGAGCACACAGTCCACTTGGTGGTAAGTGGTTCCTGTGACCCATAAACACATTTATCCTCAATAAAGAATCAAAATGCAGATGCGTCGTCACCCGTGAGGACTAAAATGGAATGCCTCTTTCGCAGTAAAATGGGTATCCGGTTCTCTACACTCACCATACGATACACAGCAGTGTGAAGCTGCCCTTTTACGCTGGTATTCTGTGAGAGCGTGGTCCTTCCACGGTCGAGCCGACCCATTGGTGCTACAACTATACTACTAATATAGCTGCAGCATGGCTCTACCACGTATGATATATGATATTAACATACCTAGTAGGTAACAATATTATATCATAACACATGCGTCATATATCCCACTAACATAGTTTTAGATCAAAGGCTACTTATTAGATGAAGATAATTATATGTGTATTCTACATAATTACAATAATTTAAACGGTATTAAATATTTTGAACGTGGTAGAGTCACGGTGCTGCTATATTATGGTTTCGTATGATAAGTGTACAGAACCAGAGGCCCTTTATTATTGAAAACGAGGCATTCCATCTTAGTCTTCAGGGGTGACAACGCATCTGCATTTTGATTCTTAATCGAGGATAGATGTAGGTGTGTATGGTATTTAGCATCCACTTACCATCAGACGGACTGTGTAGGTACTCGTTTGTCACATTCTTATTTTATGGAAAAAATATGTTACTTACTATATGTACCTATAACTCGTCTTTGTGTTTTAGTATCTTGTTTGTCCAAGTCTTTCTTTGTTAATAATGTATCACCCAATTAAAGTGATTAATACGTAATACGTTTTGCTTACATATACAAGCAGTTCATATCTTGTACATATATACATCGCGCTTACGTAGTGCGAATGCACGTAGGCATAGATAAAGCCAGATTTCCTTTTCAGTGCATAACGCACGATTGGACAAAGGAAGGCGATAATTAGCCGTGGACGAAAATAGTCGCGGCGGGCCCTGGGCCAGGTGACGTCAGCGCGCCAGGGCCGCGGCGGGGCAAGACGGGCCCCGCGCCAGTGTCGCGCGCGCCGTCCGCCTGGCCGCACGCCGACGCTGCTAAGCCTGCGACCGACCGCCATAGCCAGCCGCCTCCGCGCCACACAGTCCCCGCCGCAGCGACCCGCGCCCACCAACGCTCCTTTACGAGCCCCATACACAACCCACCTCCCCCAACCGTAAGTACAACCACCCCTAATAAGTAAGTACTTCTCTACGCATCCCATATCTCCCATTACCACTAGATCACTACTTTCTTACAGATTTTACTTCACCGTGTTAGGATTTTCCCGCGCATTTGACTAGTTATTTTTTAGTTTTTATTTATTTCTAAAATTATAGGGTTCGTTTCTTATATCAGTATAGAAGAGTGAAACCAACCTTGGCGCATCGTGCATTGCAGCAGGGACCTTGCAAGTCACGCGTCATAGTAACCTCGCTTCACGCTGTATTCGAACCGCTATTACGACGTCTCTCAACTCGGCGCCACTACGATAGGTTACATTTCAGCACAATACATTGCTCCTTACATTACGCCCTATACTAGCGAACTCATATCCGGCGAGCATTGGATATGTAACTATACAAATGCTTTGTTTTGAATCTTGATCGCACACAAAGTATTACGGAGATTGTTGATAGACGTGTTGTAGAACGAATACAAACAGCTGACCGAACGACACGACGCAACCACGTATTTCATTTAACAGATAAAAAATACGACGCGGTCACTCAAGGACGGTCAACAACTATCGAGTAGTAGGTATTTCCCGTTTAACGAGGAGTCAAGTGATACATAAGTGACGTTGGTACAGCAGTCACTACGGTTCCCAATGTAAAATGCAGATTCTGTGTGGATTTATTTATAAATATTATTTTATTTAACCATTATTGTAAGACGCCTTTAACTAAGGTTCACAATTGGCTGATTGTGTGATGGACTATTGTGGTGTGGATGTATTCTAGTTTTGATTAAAGGTTATAAAAATACCAGCAATTGCAAATTTTATTCTGTTTGTCTCGAGTGTTTCCCAAGTTATCATACTGGAAAAACACGCCATACTTTATCTGGTGTTTTGCTCACTATCAGCTGAGCGAATTATGAGCTGTGTTATAATATGGTTACTTGGTTAGTCCCGCAACAATGCACGCGATTTGAAACCTAAGGATTGTGTAGTAAGGATATGTTTTCGCTTGCAAAATGATGACAGTTGACGAAAACAAGTTAAGTAATTATACAGGTACAATGGTTTTACAAAACAAGCAAATAGAATTTATTTTTATAAACTAATTAGTATTTTTATTCCGTAAACATGTTAAATGTTATGAGGTAGGTCGTCTGATAGGTGTGTTATTGTGTGTCATTTGGCTAAGCAGAACCGGCGCTACCTAATTTTACTCGGGTTCGGTTTCATATCTAGATGTTGTAGATTTCATAGTTTCATTCTATGATTTACAAAAATCTCTTTTATTACTAAAGTAATATGGAACGCTTTACGTCAAATTAAAGTAATCGCTCACGCTCGTAATTACGTTACTAATCACGCTGATTTACATATTTATAACATATTGCTAAAGAATAACATTGAGTATAGCCTCTAAATCGTTTCAAGACATTTTTACCTTGCGCCGGCATTGATCGTTGTCCACAGAACCGGTAGGCAACGGTTACCCTTCGCCGAACATCAACCATGTCAAGCCACTTGTTGTTTAAGTAAAACTTAAATGTTAATTCGCTCTACGTGACGTTAATCTGTTCATAGATTTGAATCATTTTTTAATTAATGAAAAATTAACCATTTTTGCTAAATGAGCCTCGTAGACTTCATAATAAAAGAAGAAGCTAATAGATTTCTCAGTAAAACCGATACCTTAATTACTGTGCTCATTAATCGTTCCCATCGTTGTAACTACTTTTTGTGTGTCTTGCATAATCAGATTTATCAATAAATCTCTATTGTTTTATGTGTTTCAGCCTTCAATGGTACGCAAATACGAAAGAATGAGTGGTCGTCAGTCCTGGAGCGAAGAGGACATGGCGAAAGCCGTTGCTGCCGTGGTGTCAGGTAAAATGGGTTACAAGCTCGCGGCGAGGACCTTTCATATACCTCGCTCGACGTTGCAACGACGCGCCAGTAAGATCCGATACCAACTACCCGACGATCCCAAACCTTTAATGGGTCATTACAGACGAGTGTTCACTGACAATCAAGAAAAGGATCTTGTTGGCTATATTAAGAGTATGGAAAAGTACTTCATGGGCGTGTCGAGGCGAGATATACGGGAGCTAGCCTTTCAATACGCCGAAGACAACAATCTAAATCATCCTTTCGACGTCAACAGTAGAATGGCTGGCGAAGACTGGGTGAGAAACTTCCTAAAAAGAAACCCAGAGTTACTTAATAAGTCGGAGAAGGAATATGAATTAGAGCCGGTGAACTTCGACCAGTTCTATCATTTCATGTGTCAATTTTCATGATAACTAGTCGAATACTTGCTACAATTAGTAAATTAATCAAAGAGCCTCGTTCTTTTGATTCCTGTGTACCAACTATTGAGAACTTAAACACCATTCCAAAATTTTGTTACCAACATTTATAATAAGTTTGTTATATTTTGGTTACTTGGATATAAATATTTGATGTCAGTAAAATAATTAGCATACTTGAGCTCGACACACACGGTCAGTTAAACTGATCAGTTAAAAAGGATGTAAGGAAAAGCGATTTCTTTTTTTTTTCTCTCTCACTGACTTCAAATGTCAACTTAAGATTTCACACTCACGGTCAGTTTTTGAATGTACGTCAGTTCAACGATCAAAATGTACGTGTGCCCAAAAATTCCGTGTGCTGCTGTCAGTTAAAAATTTCAACTTAAGATTTCACACACACGGTCAGTTTTGGATGTACATCAGTTCAACTGAACAGTTTAACTGAACGTGTGTTTCATGCTTTACAATTATTATTATTACGGGACATAAGACGGGAATATAAGCAGATTTTAAATTTTATCAGCGAATTCAAACAACGAGCTAAGCTCAAAGAATGCATAATTTATATTACAGTTAATTATGTATTGTAAATGTCCGTAGATTTCTTATTGGGCTACTTATTACATATTAGTACTTACGAAGTCTAATAATTTTCTAGTTATGTTTAATTTATAGTTTAAATTCTGTTGGTTAATGGTAATAAATAAATTAAGGGCTGTGATAACAGAGGAAGGTGTAACTGGGTGAGACATATCATATCGGCACGATATATTTACATATGGAAAAGGTTCTAGTTATTTCGTTTGAATATTGAAAAAGTTTTTCTTTGTTTTCTTAATGGTCTTTGAAACTAAAATATATTTAGGAGCGGTGTACATCTATGGCAATAACCGTGATATTATTAAATCCGTTAAAACCTCTTACGACGTATGATGCCGTCCGCATTTATTTTGTCCATTGCATATATATCGTAGATATTATTGCGTATTTGGATTTGGTTTGACAAAACATATTTTAAGCGTTAATTTTTAAAATTTTAAACTCTTTTAAAATGATTTCTATATAATATATCATTTCGTTTAGTATTGCGTTCCGTTAAACATTTTTATTGAAATAGTTATCGTCTGGAAGAGAATAAATAAAAACGTTGTGATATTGGTGACTGGTGATAGTAGTGGGAATGCCCTATAGTTGATTCGTTTATAAATATAATGTATTCACAATGCACGCAAGATAAGAATAGGACTGTCAAATATTTTATTTCACGAGCGCATTAACTTTAAGTGTGTTGTGGAGGATGTGTAAAAACCTGATTGAAATAGGCACATCAATAAATATGTATTTTTAGTATTTATTAGAAATTTAGTAAAGTAAACAAGAATATATTTAAAGATGGTGTATCATGCAAAATGACGTTTAAGTAGTTAGAGAATTTGACATTTACACAATCCTATTCTTACCCTGTGCGCATGGAAAGTACTTGTTCTAAAAATACTTTATGAGATATATATTTTTAAATTAAAATAAAATAATTGGAGTACCTATAATTCATGCCCTACAAATTTGTCGTTACCTGATATATGTTTGATCTCTTAAACTTAGTTTAATTACATAGTAACTTATGAATATTAATTGTTGAGGTCAATATAGGACTTGTTGGTTGTATTGAAATTTTACTTTTGGAAACAGACATAAAATGCCAAACTTGTTATTATTTTGAGATTTATATTTAATTGGTATAGTTAAGTATGTACTTAATAAGTTTTACGCACTTAAATAAATATTATAAAAATATATGCTACGCTGTTTTCATTTTATATTTTTTACTATGTGAAAAAATAATGTGACAATATTATTTAATGCTAACTGTAATGCACGAAGTACTAATATATTGGTTTAATTATAATTATAGTGCAGTCGAGATAAGAATCAAAACACGTTCAAACGTTTGATTTGAATATATTTTACTAAAAAATCTTACAAAATCTTTATTGGTTTAGGTGTCTGATTCCATTTTTAAAAAAAAACTGATCTCAAGACGTCAAAATCAACACGTGATGAGTAAAGAGGCTTGTACACCTGAGTTGTCTCCTCTCCTGGCCTGATTGACTGGGATCTCACCGAGTCGTCGTCGATGCCTGCTCATTCGATCCTATGGCGACTAGCGTCGGAGTTCTTCATGGGTCCGTTCTCTTCACAACTCTCTTCCTGCTGCTTATTAATGATCTGCTTATGCTCGGTGCCTATGTGTATGCAGACGACAGCACGGGTGTGGAGAGATACCAACCAAGTACTCGGGCCAGTCGGGATAAAATCCAGTCCGAAAGAGAACCTATGGTTGAGCGTGTGAAACTCACACTACAAGCAGTCTCCGAATGGGGCGATACCAATCTTGTGAAACCCAACGCCTCCAAAACACAAGTGTGTCTCTTCATTGCAAAAAGGAGCCAACTTACCTTAGCTGCTTCTTTCCGAAATGTATCACTGTAATACACCAACCTCCTTCAGTCGTCCAAGGCTAAATCAGCTGCAAGGAAGCTAGGAGCCCTTGCAAAAATACGGTGGTACTTCACGCCGGGACAGCTGCTTATAAAGCGCAAGTCCGGTCGTGCATAAAGTATTGCTATATATGGGCTGGTGCTGCAAAATGCCGCCTAGCAGCTTCGGACTCAATAGAAAAGCGTACTAAGAAGCTTATTGGTGACCCGAATCTGGTTGAAGATCACCAGTCATACACAAGTCACCAGCCTCGAACAGAGGCGCAAAGTAGCCAGCCTTAAGGTCTTCTACAGGATGCATTTCGGAGAGTGTGCCCATGAATCACATAACTTAATTCCTCCCTCTCCGTTTTACTATCGGACAACCAGACGTTCGGCCAGTCTCCATCCTTTCATTGTCTTCACTTACCATGTATTCGAACCAAACGGCTTGCTATATCGTTCCTCATGCGTACAGCAAAGGAGTGCAATAAGTTGCCAGCATCTGTCTTTCCATCCGATTACAATGTGGGTCTTCAAGATACTGAATATCTTTTGATGAATAGTGTTGGATCAGTGCGCTTGAACATCTTGGGCTGCATCACCTCTAATATCAGATGGCATAGTAGTTAAGCGCTGGCTTAAAACAGTAAAAAAATGAAAACGAGATGAAAGACGATGAAGAATCTATAAATTAGCATTTATTATAAATTTAAAAAATAACAGTGTCATAAAACAGTTACTAAAGCATTTAAAAGTGCAAAAAATACGTCACTATTTGTATTATAATTTCCACTGACATTTTTTAACGTCCACGATAAAGTCCTGCGCCGTTAATAACACTTCCAGGAAAACATCTTAATATTAAAGTTAAAGTTACAGCCTAAACCCCACAGCTGGGCACAGACCTCCTCTATTTTTTGAGAAGGTTTTAAAGGCAAGGAAATATCAGTTGGGTTGTCCTAATGCATGTCGGCGAACTTCACGTGTCTTCGAAATATTTTTTCTTATTTCTGAGACATACAGGTTTCCTCGAGATGTTTTCCTTCACCGCCGGGCACGTCAGCAATTAAAATTGCAATTAACAATTTCACTGGTGCCGGCGGGTATCGAACCCATGTTGCTCGCGTACTGTGAAATGTATTTAAAACTAGCTTTTCCCCGCGATTTCGCCCGCGTAATTTTTTTGCGCAGACCCTAATTCTTTCTCTTAACTAAAAGTAGTAAAGTAAAGTTACTCCTTATAAAATCAGTTATCTGCCATATACGATGATGCGGATATATATCAAGGTTAATAATGCCTAAGCGCCTACAGCCACTCAACTATTAGAATGAGCAGATATAATAAATTAGTGCTACTAAAAAAGTAGTAGGCGGTGCAGCAAATAAATATCAATTTAGCTAAATAAAATCTAAAAATGCAACAACAATAAATGTCGAATACATCGACTGTAATAAGAGAAGTATCAGATGTGCACAAAAATGTACGAATTCAAAGCTATCGTGCCAATCAATATATCTCCCTTCAGACTAACAAAAAAAGATAGAGCGGAAAATGATAAAGATAGAGCGAAATTGTAGCGCTGCATACATTTCAAATTAGGCCAAAACCAAGCAACAACCATGCTCACGTTACTGTAGGAACACGACTAAAACCATGTTGTTAGTCGTAAAAGATTACTCTTTTAAAATCTTTTGCAACTTACAATATGGCTTCACGTGCAAATATATGCGTCCAGCGACGCAATTTTACTGGCTGTTAAAGAAAGAAAGAAGAAATTTGTATGAGTGAGTGCGTTCGAATACTTGAGCACGGTTCTGTAAATCCACAATTGATGTTCAGAGAAATGTTACGAAAGACGTTAAGGAATTATAATATAAGATGAATCATTTGGTGTAATAAAAATCCCAACCAGTTTAGTTACTATACTATATATGATAATACTGCAGAAAATCATATACAAGCATCATTAAGAAACCTGCATACTCGTAGTCTGCTAACAGGCATTGAAACATTACAACGAACTAATTGTGCTGGATTTAACTTTTTGATGCTCTAGGTTTTTATAGCAAATGGTGTCCTAGTTTTTCATTTTATATTGGTATTTTATTTTAACTAAAAGTGTTCTAATGTATACTTTAGTGGCTGAAATATTGTTTTCTTAATTTTTAATAGCAAAATCCCCGATAACATCGTTAAAATTGATTTCACGAAGCAAATCACTTTCGATGCAAAGTAGTGATAATGCATCCAATCTTTACCTGTTTCATCATAGTACGACAATGATTTTTTTTTAATCTCTTTAGTTGTGAGAATGATATTTCTGTCGAATAATGATGTCCTCTTTACGGTGTAAGTCCTAGGCCAGTGCCATAAGCGTAATGTTAGATGGTACGGCACAAGTATATGGAGAGACACTAGTGTGCCTAATTGTAAATCCGTGTGATGCACATAGTCAATTAAATAGATGCAGATAGTCGATGAATGGTGGCTCAGGACCGTGCTTTATGTTATTCCTTACCGTGGCCTACCCGGCCTATGTTAGCTGTAAATTTGTGCTAATGATTTAATTAGGAAGAGATGGCAAGTTTTTTTTTTATTTCTTATTATCATCATCCTTACAAATACTGCTAAACATGGACCTCCCCCATAGATTGCCATATAACGGCCACGTTTGACTCACGAATTGGCGACCGCAAGTGTTTGTCATATTGTTTCGTTATCAGGAACATGTTGCTGCCCATCTCATGTATCCCTGTCGCCTCTTACAACACACACCGAATGATATATAATTTATAATGAAATAAACAATCAATCAAGAAATTCGCCTTGTCAACCAATTGTCAAGACGTCACACAGAAACAAAGAACATGTTGTCAGTCAGACGATATGGAAATTTTCTGTGAGATAAAGGCATAGTTGGCCGCTCTCATACCATATTTCATTTTATTTTATTTTATATTATTTTTGGAAAACTTACATGTAATATTACACAGTAAATAAATGAAAAACAACCAGAAGGCCGTTTCAAAGTTTTCACCTATCAATATGAGCTTAGAAACAATAATTTTAGTTGGTAAAAGATAAACATTGATAAAGGAGCCGTGGTAGCTCAGATGTTTAGCGCTTGCTGTAAGCTTCCCAGTAGGCTAGCAACCCGGGTTCGATCTCCGCCGGCACCAATGAAATTGTTAATTGCAATTTGAAGTGCTGATTTACCACGTGCTCGGCGGCGAAGGAAAACATCGTGAGTAAACCTGCATGTCTGAGAAATAAGAAAAAAAATATTTCGAAGACATGTAAAGTTCGCCAACACCCATTGGGGCAGCGCGGCGAACATTTCCTTGCCCTAAAACCCTCTCAGAAATGAGAGGAGGCCTGTGCCCAGTAGTGGGAAGCAAATAAGCTGCAACTTTACTTTAAACATTGATAAAGACAAACATAATAAATTAACAAAATTTGACAGAACACTCAACAAAAGATTTTTTTCGCTAAAATATTTTGATTCGAGAAACCCTGTTATTAAACAAGTCCAAGTCAATGTTATTAGAAATTTATATTATATAGAAATTTATATTATTAGATATAAAAAGTTCTGCATCCACATATCATAAAAACATTTTGCCTGTATTTAGTCCGGGTTTGCGGTACATGGAGTAAGCGAGGTTTTCTTAATAGAGTAGCTCCTAACTTACTCAACAGCTCAGGACTGACTGTCCGGATTACCGCTTGCAAATTTAAAAAGATAAATCATATCTGCCATGCGCCTTCGTTCATACAGAGGCGAAATATGACGTTTTTTTACACTGTGAAATGTCATCAGTGTAAAATTCCGTCTTAAATTGCAGAAGACGTTGGAAACGTTTTTGTACTTGCCTAATGCTAGCTATATAGTAAATGTTATAATTTGGGTTGGGTTCCATACTTGTGAAGCCTACCCCAAATGACAGCGTACAGAAGAACAATAAAGTATCTTATATATTTTAATATTATGAAAGGTTTTTTAATGATATTGTAAATTTGTGCATTAAAGAACAATTTAGAATCGAAAAACACACCATTATTACATTACTGATTGTAACCTCTTTTTACTAGCGTCTTGTAATTTGTAGTGAAGGACAGTGGGGTTGGGTTTACGGGTAAAAGTAAGGATAAACATTTGGACAAATTCAAGTCAAGTTTGTTGCATGAACAATATCGTTCAAGTTCATCGAGATCAGACCAAGGCAGTCAGAAGTTTTTGTGTTGGGGCATAAAATTTTCATGGCATGAGCATAGAGGATTATTTTGGAGCAGGTAAAACAAGAGCCTATATCATATATAAACATCGAAAAAATCAACGGACCTAATAGGGA